AGCGGGTGCTGAGCCCTGAGGCTGCCTTGGCCGGCGGGCGGGGGGGAGGGAGGCAGCTGGCGGCCGTACACCACAGGCGCGGCGGAGAGCTCAGGCAGGAGCCGCCGAGGGGGCTCCCCGCACACAGCAGGGCGGGCATCTACCAGGTCACCAAAATGCATTTACTCCTCATCGGCTTGGGACTCCTCCTCGGCGCACAGCTGGCTCAGCTCCTTGCGCTTGGCAACCATGAGGGCGGCGCCGACAAGGACGGGCAGAAAGAGGCAGAAGCCCAGCAGCAGCCAATTCTTCATCGTGCTCTGGGCAGCGCGCTCCAGGGCAGCGTCTAGAGAGAGCACACGGACACCGGGTCTCACGCAGCTGCCACCCCCGGCTCCTCTGCGCTGCCTCGTTTCCCAGGACAGCAGCGGTCATCTTACAGAAAGTTATCCAGGCACACGATTCCTTTCAGGTCGCGTCAATTTTTCCTCCCTGACAGCAGTCCCAGGTGATCAACGTGTCCAGGCAAATGGCACGAAACAACTTTCGGCCTGGTGACTGGCGCGGGACAGTCCGAGCACAACGGTTGGACAGACGGCTGCGATCGGGACTACCCCGCTGCGCTGCCAGCCAGGTGGAGCGGCCTGGGCCACGTCGGGAGAGTGCCAGACCCCCAGGGCACAACAGGGAGAGGTGCACCCAGGGGACCCTTTCCAGACTGATAAAGCCTCACTCAGTAGCTTTCCCCACCAGTCCCCTGAAAACATGAAAGGACCTGGGCCAAGGTTGGGTTGGGGGGCATCAAGTCCAAGGCAGCTGCCCAGGGCCACCGGGTTACCTAGCTCCCGACATGTGCCCCATTACGGCTCAGCTGCAGGGTTTTCCCTCATGTGCATCTCTTCTGACTGGCGCATTATTTCCCCTAGTCTTAACGGCCCAGGCAACCAAGCCATGGCTTACGTTTCACGACTGTTTTTGCACGCTACAGACTGCCCACCTGCACCGCCTCCACTTCTTAGGTATTTTAACGGTCGCCAGGCTAGCGCTGCCCATTCAAGCGGACCAGGTGCTGGGATCACTGGCGCATCTTCACGAGACACGGGCCTGCCCAGACCTCAAAAGGGCTGTAGCTTTGCCCTCAAAGTCTGACATTGGAGCGGGAGGCCGAGAAAGGGCTCAGCACCCAGCTACCCAAGCTACCACAGTAGCTCCTTCTACTGGCTAACTAGCTCCGGCCAGGCTCGGTTCTCAACGGCCGCAGAGTCTCTTGGGAATCACGGAGAGCCGAATTAGGCCTCACGTTACTAATCGCCAAGGTTTTGTAGGCTCCTTGAAGGTGCCCGTGGCAGATCTGTTGCTCCCGTTAGAGGAGAGCACCAAATCCAAGCTTGCGGGGCCCCAAGGCACTGGCTTTGCTAAATTGGGTCAGAGCACTCACCAGAGCCCAAAAAGCGAAGTCCACTGTCAGTGCTTCCGCCTAGCCCAGATCCTCTGGTTTGGCAATTTGGAGGCTGCCAGCCAGGATCACAGTGGCAATTTTTCTTGCTGTTGCACACCTTAACACAGAGGGGAGACAGCAAGGTTATTACCCCGTGACAGCAGTTCTCCTCCGAGGTGAACACGGCCAGTCGCTCCAGGGTAAGCTCCTGGTGCCCCCTGTCACCCTCCCGTTCCTACCCTACCCCTGCAGATGACCACCTGGGCTGTCAGTGCGAGAGAACCTGCCCCCTACACACTCTCCCGGATGCTTGAGACCACGTGCTCGGTAGCCTGGCATTCATACCCACGCGGCAAGCAGGCGGGCAGCCCCACTTCTACCGATGGGACGGGTGGCCTGGCTTGGCTGGGACCCCAGCAGCCCACTGGCATGGCTGAAACTAGATTCTGGGGACTCCCTCCGTGTCCCCCATGACCCATCCTCTCCCCCAATCTGTCCCCTCCCACCTCTGGTACCTGTGACGAGCTGAGTCTAAACAGTTCCCTGCTGCTTGGCCATTCACCATTTGGCCGCCTTTCCCTTTTTTTCTCCTAGTCTGGAGCCATCCGATTTTCTCTGGGTCACGCGGGACAGCCCTGCCTATCATTCTACTTTCGGCAGCCATCCTGGGCCAGTCAAACTGGTCCCACTCCCTTTCTGCGCACACCTGGCAAGGGCACACCAAGACCCAGGTGGCCTGGGTCTTACTTCGCCTACGAGGCACCAAATGGAAGCGACGCAAATAACGCAAGTGAGATCCTGGTCTGGCTTGCTGGAGTCCCTGAGCACCCGGTCAGGCCGTTCCTTTTGGACCAGGGGTTCAACCAAGGCAGGAAGCACAGCTGGCAGGAGGGGACTCAGCCACCCTAGGACGCACCAGTTAGCTCTTTCGGCCCGCAACGGGGGGCCCCAACTCCACTTACACACCTAAGTCCCCTTCGGCTAGGAACAGGCATTGCATTTGCCCCTCGATAAGTCACGCGGGGGCGTATCCGGAGACAAAAGGATCCCGGGACCAGTGTGTCCACATATCGCCTGACGAATATAGGTTCAGCATGGGGCTGAATGCTGTGCCGCCTTTCTGCCACCATGTCGGGGCTGCAGGCACACTTTGCCATGTCGTAGGAAAACCTGTGACTGCTTTTTCAGCCAGGAACCTTTTGCAGGATTTCTCGCGGGACAAAGGACACGGGCATCTGTCCGCCTGCAATTTGTCTCAGGAGAACTGGACATTCACCTACAGCCTAGGGCATCTAATAGGTCACGGGAGAGGCTCTGGCCGTACCTGCCAAGCCAAACTGCTGCCGTAGCCCATTACCAGGCATTGCAGCGTGGGGTCATATCCTGAAACCACCTGCCACTTTACCCACCAAGACCAGGCACCGTCACATGGGAATAACATTACTCAAACTTACCCCGTGTCCGCTGCACTTTGTCTCTGGATTACAATCGTATCCCAGAATGCCTTCTACCTGGCACTTTCCGTCTATGCAAACCTAAAACAACAACAGAGTAGGAAAAGCCATGGCAGGTGGGTCTGCCTACCTGCGTGCTCAGAGCGCAGCCCACGCTTCCTGAAAAGAAGCTTCACAGCGAAGAACCAGAAAGACTGTGTTTTTGGGACATGCCACAGATACCTGTCCAAAGACCACAGGCAAGACAACCCAAAGACCCACTAATGGCATCTGCCCCATTACCACGAAGATAGCCAACAAAGAAGGGATCTTCATGAAAAGGCACTCAGCAAGAACCGATCCTACAAAGAGCAGGAGCACTTGTACTTCACAAAGGGAGCCAGGCCCACCTGACGTGCCAGTCCACATTCCCCTCAACGGAGCACTGGGGCTCTTTCCCCCTGCCTCTCTGGGGTATGAAGGAGGCCTTGGAAATCAGGAATGGCAGGGAGAAAGTCACCAGGGAACTCCTCTTGGCTGGCTCTTACAGTAGTAGCTCCAGGGAACATGACAGACAATTATTAGGAAGCCTGTTTAAAACAAACCAAAGGCAGCTTTTTTCCTCCATGCAGCATCTAATTACCAGGCGGGACCTGGAGGTCCCAGCTCCTGTAGAGGTCGCCAATTTAACACGGGCCAAGAGAGGCCCGGCCCGGTTCACGCACAACAAGTCTATCTGTGGGTATTAGATGGGGCAGGAGGGGCGCCACGTATCCACTAGGCTTCGGACTGCCAGAGGCCATCAGGGAGGAAGGGCAGGGGACAGGTCGGTCTGAATAGGCCCTGCACACCCCTTCCTCCCCTTTGCAGCCACTCTCTGCCACAGCGGCTAGACAGGCTTGCAGACTCCTACCCTGGCTAGGCTCACACTGGGACCCTGGTGACAGCAAACAAGCAGCGGGGCTCCCATCAAAGACGTTTCCGCAGGCTATTAGCATTTCAGCACGCGACCCGTCTTTACGGGGACATTGGGCACTTGATGCTGCTATGGTACAAGTCATATCGAGGATTACAAAGCAGCAGAATGATTCAAGCACAGAGATGCAAAGACGTTACCAAAGCAGAGCAAGGCGGTGGCCGGAGACACCGCTACGCGGTCACCTCTCTCGGGCTGAGTTACCACTTAGGCTTATGCCGTATGGAAAAAATGACCCTGGGCGTTGAGGGAGTGAGTGACAAACGCAACAGCATGGATACAGTCACTGGAAGAGTTTACTCTGCAGTGTCAAAGCCTCTAAAAATCCATCCGATTCAGGCAGTCCACAGGCTGACTTTTTACCCCTTTATGACATAGTTCTCTACCTTGCCATTAGCACACATCGTGCCATCTTTCACCATCATCGGGTCTTTCGTTGTGGCTGGTTGCATGTAATCTAAAGACACGCACAGATCCTCACGCACTTGAGCGTAAATCACAGCCGTGCTTTCTTGAATAAACGGAACGCGAATTGGATAGGTACAAATTAACTTCCCGCACTTGAGATTCCTATAAAAGTCATCAGGAGAGGGACATACATTTACACAGAATACCATATTGCTTCAACTGTCAAAGAAGATAAAACCCGCCCGATAAGGAGGGAGAGCGCAGCTAGTATGGGACCCCAACAAAACCCCAGCCACCAAACAAAAACCAGCACAGAGGGAAGCGAGAAGACTGCTCCGTCAAGAGAGGAGAGCACTTCTGCACGCTCCGCTACATGTCAGGGTCCTCCTGCCAGGCATGAAGCTGCAGAGGGGACTGCGTAGATCTGGGCGGGGCGTGCAGACCATGAGTGACGCTCAGGGTCCTGTCTTTCCAGACACGTCCAGCCACTGCCCACACCACCAGCCCTTACTTATCGCATACCCTTGGAGCAGAGGAGCCAGGCGTGCCAGATGCTTGCAACTCGGTCTGTCCACAGCCGAGGGCTATGCCTACTCCTTCTCCATACCTTGGCCCAAAGACACTCCTCCTTATATTGGCTGCTTCTGCCCCAGGAGCCAGGGCTAGGTAGGCAAGGCAAGGTCCTTGGAAAAAGCTAGGGCTATGGACTAGGAATAGCCAGCTCCCCACAAAGGGAACTTGAGGAAGCCACAAAAGCAACCCTTCAGAGGAACAGACGACAAACACCCGTCTACATCAGAGTCACACTGAAATGAATAGTGACATCCGTTTCCTCAGACCTACGTCCAGCTGCAGCTCTTGTATCCCATGTTTGGATCATTTCCGCAGTGGCCAAACCTATCAGTTTGACTATTGACTTCTTCATAACAGGCATCGGGGCCATTTTTGGAACCTGCAAGTTGAGATGTAACGTGGGTTACAATCAGAGAGGAACGGGGATGTTGTCCGTTGGCCCTTCTCAAATGCTGCCAATGGTAGTGTGAGACTTAACGAGAACAAAGACAGCCGTTCAAGTACGACGTTCAGTACCGTTACCGTGTTTGGTACTACTGCTCCTACAACAGGTTTCTGGCACTGGACTTGGGAAAACATTGGAACGGTTGCCCACATTACCTCTCCCGTAGATTCTCTGGCACTGGAGGTCAGCAGCCTGGCAATACCCATTGTAACAGTAGCCGGCGTTGTGCTCGCATTTGTGCCCGTTTTGGACAAAGACGTCCTCCGGACAGAACGCTGAAGTCCCGTTGCAGTACTCGGGGAGATCGCATTGATTATCCACCCTCTCTCTGCATTTCCTGTTCCTTGCTTTTATCTAGTGGACAGAGGTAGGAATAATCATCGCACGTAAACATCCTACCCAGTGATGTTCAAGTCCAGCACGTGCAGACCGTGGGATTATGTGGCGGTAACGCGCCACCACCAAGCTGCTGCTGTGTGTCACTGCCACTAGTACTTCCCCTAATTCGCTTATCCTTGGCCTTCTCCCTTTGAGCGCAGCTACTGTCGCTCTCACTGCAAGAGGAGCCCTCCCTGTCTGTAGCCTTTGCAAAGCTGGGCAGGGCAGGGCAGGGCAGGCCTGCCTTAACTTACAAGCGAGAGAGGATAAATATCTAGAGTCCTTTCTTTGACATCCTCTGCTACCAGTCCCCTAAGGCAGTGCCCAGAGCAGTGCTTGTCAACCCTTCTTAGGCTAGGGGCACCCCTTAAGAGACTCGGGCATGCCTCAGTCGCTCGGAGGCACCCCTCACAAAATGCCACCTCATAATGTTTACTCCTTTGTGACTACAGAAAAACAACAGAGCAAGTCTTCTGGGGCAAGGGACTCTGAAAGCCCACAGCACAGAGGAATGTTGTGAATGCTGTGCATTCACAGGTGACAGCTCAGGGTTTTATCCTAAGACTCGCGTTTTTACACCTAACAGTGCTACCACTGTGTGGCAGCATGCTTGAAAGAATCTTGTGGCCCCCAGGCTGAGAAGCCCCGGCCTAGAACCATCTCCTGTGCCCGAGCACAGATACACTATGCCCTCTAGATCCAGGGGATCATCTCATCTTCCGTATCAGACTTCTCCAGGTACACGCACACGCAAAGGGTGGCCACATGGCTTCGTTTCCCATCTCACAAGCGGCAGGAAAGCCACCCCCGCACCACAACCACCCTCATCGGTTCTTCATCTCTGCCATTAAAAGCACGCAGCGATCTGCAGCCTGGATAGCCTATTGCCACAATCAATGCTCTGCACCACACACTAGAAGAGGCAGCATTTCAAAGAAGGTGCCGTGAATACTGCTTTCATCCCAATTAAGGCCTGAATCCTGCCGTGATGCCCAGGCTTGGCTTCACGCAGGCAAGCAGGCCTCTGGGCTGTGTCCACAGACGTTGGCCCACTTGCGAGAGGAAAGAAAAGCCACACAGCCCTTGCCACTCCCAACGACAAGACTGTGGCTCAAGAACCAGGCTGCGACTCAGGGAGTCCGTGTTCAATGATGGTCCCAACTGCTGACTTCCCGCATGCTCTCAGGCAAGCTGCTCAGTCTGTCTACAGCCCACTTCCCCCAACCAAGCTGCCCAACCTTAGCTGCTCTGAGCTCTGGCAAAACAAGTGACCACAGCAGACCCTGCCACAGCTTCCACACCTCCCCGAAGGCGTTCTGCACTAGTACTAAGAAGGTCTAGATTCTAGGCCCGTGCGAGTAGGCAGCTATTCAGTCCGGCTTCAGATGCCAGCAGTCTGATCCGGAGCTCCGGACCAGGTTCCCGCTTCGATCTGGCTGAAGCTTCGGAGCCACCTTGGAGACCCAGCCATGGGGGATAGTGGGGAATCAATGAAATATCTATCACTTTGTGGTTTTTTGTCGGATTTGGATGAAACTTACTTGCAAGGGTGGTAGCCTCTGCTGACAGCATGAAGCCTGCCAAGTTTCAAGAAGATCGGTGCAGGGGTTTGGGGGGAACTGCACCCCAAATTCTTGAAAGCAAAACTCATGTCACTTGTACATGTTACTCCACAGGGGGGTGAAAACTGCAGGGGTGGTGGCCCCTGGCGAGGCCACAAAGCCTACCAAGTTTCAAGAAGATCGGTGCAGGGGTTTGGGGGGAACTGCACCCCAAATTCTTGAAAGCAAAACTCATGTCACTTGTACATGTTACTCCACAGGGGGGTGAAAACTGCAGGGGTGGTGGCCCCTGGCGAGGCCACAAAGCCTACCAAGTTTCAAGAAGATCGGTGCAGGGGTTTGGGGTGGGGGGGAACTGCACCTCAAGCTTCTGACAGGCAAAACTCATGACATAGATGACCCTGTGTGTGTTAAGGTGCAGCGGGATGACAGCCGCAGGGATGGTGGCACCTGATGCGGCCACAAAGCCTGCCAGCTGTCAAGCAGATTGGCGCAGGGCTTCTGGGGCCCTGCACCTCTAGGTGCTGACAGGCAAAACTCATGCCTTACCTGACAGCTATAGCAGCATAACCCAGCAGCACACTGCGCACCTCTTGCTAATCTACACTCCGTAGTACAGCATCTATTCCGTGTGCATTCCTGGAGAAAAGGCAAATGTGATTAGCCTACATGGTCTAACTGTTCTCTCCTCTAAACATTCAGTCTGCCCAGAATCGTCACCCCGAAGAACCTCCAAGAGCCGCATAAGTCTGAGGTTGCTACAACGACACGTGTGCCAATGTGCATTGTTTCCATACGTACAGACAAGACCTTTCAGGGCTTCCTCCTGCTTCTGCCACACGCTGGCTGTCAGCGCATGGTTACTCTGCACCAAAACCACTACCCTGTTACATTGCTCCAGCAAAGCTGCGTACTGACCTGTGAGGAGCCACAGTCACATTGCTCTCCATCTTCTATAATACCGTTGCCGCAGGTTGGACTCTTGTAGGACGGATTCAAATGCGGCCTATTAGAAAGGCAGTGTCCTCCGCTGTGTGTAATAAAGGTTTCAAAGTCTCCAATGCTGCAGCTACTGAAGCTTTTTACACCACTGAACAGTCTACAATACAACAAAGAGCAATCAGAAAAATCTAGAATCTAAAAGCGGTTACGGATCTTACTGGAGAATTAGCAGCAGGCACGCTAACTTCCGAAAGCCAGCTGAAAACATTTTCGTTCTTTGGTGAAAACAGACCTCAAAGGTCTGAACAACCAAAAAGGACAGTAATTGGTAGCTGATGTGACATAGCCTGCTTTTGTTTCCTTCTTAAAAGAAGACACGCATGTTAAGTGATCACAGATACCCGCTAACTCGCTTCTGCCTTTTTCTTCCTAGGGTTCCGATAGGGAATACCTGAGGATGTGAGGATGATCACCAAAGGGTCAGAAATCAGACTTGATTTCTGCTTATGTTCTAATAAATCCATCACGCATGCGCAGGTGCACCTGAGGTATTTGGATTCTCTAGAACAAGCTTTGTTTGGTGTAAAGGCTTGGGAGAGACAACATCGCATCGTTTATAGCATCACGCTAACCTGAACCACGGCATCCAATGCAAAACTCACATCTCTCTGCCCAAAAAGAAAGAAACTGCAGGTAAGCAGCTCTCTTTTAGATCTATAGCCCAACAACTCCCAGCAGATCATGGACACCTGCCCACTGGACACTGAACTTGATGCCCATGACCTCTGAACAGATGCTTTCTTGCTCAGTGACATACGAGATGTTTGCTGCCAAAATCGTCAGGTAAGGTGCTATGGTCTGTGTAACGCAGAAGGGCAGACCAGCTGACCAGAAGAGCCCCTTTGGCTCCCTCACATTTCTGGGCCCATAAACTCACATCATGCCTGTTAATTGATTGCCACCAACTAATAAAGAGTTTTGGTGAAAATGGATGCAAGTCTAGATCCTAGAGGCATTTGGGTGTGCGAGCACTGCGGTACTCACATCCACAGGCGTCTACCAGAATGGGGCTCTCACCTGGCTTGACTACGCAAGATTAAACGCGCTCATTTGCAGTCCCTGGAGCTGAATGATCGGGGCCACTGTCAGAAGGGCTGCAGAGTTCTAGGACTCAGCGCTACTTTGTGTTGCCTTGCGTTTGCCAGAAACGACAACAGGCAAGTGGCTCTGTTGGCAAAACCGTATCACTGAAAGAATATTTTGAGGCTCAGCCATTTAGCACTACATGTTTTATTCCAAAATACCCACAAGCTGCATCCTGGGGAAAAAGTCAAGGCATGGCCAGCACGTGCCACGGGCTACGTGAGTTCTGCTTCGTGCACGCAACCCCACCAATTTCAACAAGATCACTGCCTGCCAGCAAAGAGCAGTGGCGATGGTCCTTGAGCTCTCTGCTCTGCGAGGCCCACAGAGGTCACGCACATTACTGTCTGCTCCAGAAATGGCCAGGCCAGGCTTCAACAGGTACCCTCTTATATATACCCCCATACCAATAGAAAAGTAACTTCCAAAAATGATCCCCGCGGAAAATGCATAAGTCATCTGTGAATTCTGTACCTAGTTAGATGCACCTGCCAAAGGCAAACATAGCAAAAACCTCTATACCCGACGCATCAGAGGACCCTCGCGCTATAACCACGTGCCATGTACGCGGGCACAGACACGGGTGAGATGCATTTTCAAACATGGCTTGCAGAAACAAGTCACCCTGTGCTGTACAGAGGTAGCAGCATGGACACTAGGGGAGGCTGAAAATAATCCTGCTTTGCTGGACATATGCTCAGCCTCTGGCACAACCATTTGCCTCCTAAAATTGTGTCCTTTCCGATGATAAAACTTACGGACATCCTAACGGTAGCTCTAGATTCAGGTAAAGCAACGAGAGAGAAGGGATGCCACACAGGTCCTTACATGGCATTCCTGTGCATGATGCAGGTGGGTCCGGAACACTGACAGGTCCTCGAATCGTCGTAGGTCATGCCCAGACTCAGCCCCAGCAGCTGGGCAACAATGACGGAAAAGGTCTCCAGGGTCACCGCGTCTTGGTACTGAACAAAGGAGAAAGACCCAGGAATTAATAGCGAGCAATTCCCCACAGTTTAGGAAACAAGCCATGATTTTACCAAACCCTTTCTTCTCCTGCCCGCTCTCTCTGAGCTGTCCTGGAGGCAATTCCCTGTACTGTAATGGAGAGGACCGCACGAGACTAGCCTCCAATTTCTGGCTGCCGTTTACCACGCTAAATCCCAGAGCAAGCAGTGCAGATGCTGCAGGTGTGAGAGAACTTGCCAGGGCACGGGCAAAACAAATGACATGACCCGAGGTGCCCACTCTCAGGAATTCAGCCCTGAACGGAGCTAGCATGTGGCCCACGGGCAGCAAGATGCTTACAAGCAGGCATGCGCGTCACCTTGGGAGCGGTATTGCCAAAGGCAGGTGGGACCGCTCGCGTGCTTAAAGAGAAGCACATACTTAAGGGCTCGGCCGCTGCCAACATGTTCAGACCAGTACCAATGTCTTTGTGGAGTAGCGGGCTCAATAATTTTGGAAGCTAGGATGAAAACACCGAGGAACTGCCACCCTAACATTTACATTTGTACTTTAGGGTGCACGTCTGCCCTTGGGCAGAGCCACGAGTCAAAACGTGTGCCTACAGGCATGCGTCTCAATCCACCACACCCAAGGGCCAAGCATCTTCTGACTTGCCCACGGCCAGTCTTACGGTGATCACTACCAATGGACATCCAACAATACTGTACCAGCGCAACGGCTCCAGAATAGTTGCTGACACACATCTTCCCGGCAAACGTCGTCCCCACATAACGAGGGTGATCCCTGTACCTAAAACGTAACGACAGTCCCTTCAGCAGCAACATGCACTTGGCAACACGGTGACAAGTACACAGTAGATTATTGCCTTTTCTTGAACCTAAGCTTTCTGTTCTCGCTCAGGGAAACAGCCGAGAGGCTTGAAAACACGTTTGGAAATGGAGTCAATCAAGAACAATGTTTGCGCCGCTCTCATTTTCTAACAGAAGTTTTTGGGCCGCAGTCATCTGCGTTTCCCAAATCCGCGCGGGTTAAAAAAACCCAAACAATATCTTACTTAACACTAAACAAGCTCCTCTTACACAAGTAAATATGCCATGTCGTGGGGCCGCAGAACAAGATGGGAGTTTTTCCACTTTACAAATCGATGTAGCAATTCATTAGCTTCCCCCGTTGTAATGATTTTGTTATAATCTGTCCAGAACTCCAGGGAAGACAGAACAATTGTCACATTAAGGCGGCTGAACATCTGCAAATACAAGATCAGACACATGCGTTCTCTACTGTTTCTGCAGACCCGTGCTTTATTTTTTACAGGCAGTACCCCAACCCCCCAGCTTTCGGAGACAGACGTGACACACCAGCACTGTTCTTCACGACTGAGTCTCTGTCACCGCTGCAGGGAAAAAAGAGGGCAGGGAGGAGAAAAGTGCAGGAGAACAAGATGATACTATCTGGCTCTGAAGACCAAACCACAGCACTTTGGATCAGCTTGGGTCACGGAAATCAATGGACAGCTCATGAATACAGGGTTACAAACTTAAATGCCTGCAGGATCACAGCTCCCATGGCAAACGCAAGGGGGTTGGGTCTGAAGCAGATGGCGTCCAATGTGCAGAAGGTAATAGCTTGTTGTTACAGCAGAGGAGCGTGCCAGGAAATGCGGCACATGTGAGGCAGCAAGACGACACACAGCAGAGCTAGTTGGTATAAATAAGGAAATTTATACCCTAGTTGGTATAAATAAGGAAAGGAAAGCTGGAGACACTAGCAAGCAGCCGCCCTGGGGACTCCACAGCTCATAGCTTGAACACACAGGGGAAGGACTGTGAGGGAAGCCGGGGTGTGCATTTCACTCCCCTGTGGACACTCATGGCAGACAGTAATGTAGCTATGGCAGCTTAGCATGCTCCACTGGAAGGCACAGACAGGCAGCCAAAAGGCTGATTTGCCTGATAGAAACAATCAGATGAAAGCAGAGGGTGGCACAGCGCATACCACACTGACAGACCAATGGCTGCTTTGCAGCCAGCAGGCGGACCTCAGATTGACTATGAGCAGCTACGTGTATGTACAGTCATTAACAACCTGCCTATGCTAGGCAGGGTTGAACTGCTTAGGCCAGGGTGCCGCAGCCCGCTTTGATGGGCAGGCACCTACTCACAGTTCACACAATACTTTCAGAGGTCTCCAAGAGGAATCCATGACGTGAAAAAACATTCTGCCCTGGGGCAGTCTTCCCAAGCCCTTGGCCACCAGAGAATTGGTCCGTTGTTTTCCCCTCAGTCAAAAAATGCAGGGCGGCAAGAGCTGGCATTTTCTAAAGGGTGCCCAGAGTCTAGCAAAGGGGGGCTTGCATTTCAAAAGGTGAATGACCACTGACATGGGCCAGGTGTTTAAAAACTAGAGGATTTTAAATCAGCCCTAATTTAAAGGTGGTGAGCAACACAGTTGTGCTAAAGGACAAGGCTGTCTTTCGGAAACGGCTTTCTGTTTTCCTCGGAAGCCGGGCTACGCAAGGCCATCAAGCAGCTGTGGGTAAAGCAGTATTATGTGGGGTTGTTTCCTCCTTTTTGCCTCCAACAGCTCGTGACTGCTCCAAACCAAAGCTTTACAAGAGCAAGGAGGGGAAAGCAATGCAGATAATCCTCTACGGATAGTCAACAGAACACACGGCCCTTGAAAACAGTGCAGTAAAACGATCCAACTTGCCGTTTTGGTATGAAACAAGAAAGACAGTGGACTTACGCTATTGACAAAGCCGATGAGCTGAACTATTTTCTGCGTTACAACGTTCTTATCTGACCCCATGTAGTTGTACTGAAAAACAAACACAGCTTTTTAGGTCGCCTTTACAGCACAACATTTCCTCGGGCATGCCTTTCCCCTTGTGAGGCGCTGCGGCATTCACATGTGCCCCAAAGTCTGGACATTTAAAATATCTAATGACTTCTTCAGTTTCCTTCCTAGGCAGAAGATGGACTTGTACTTTACACAAGGACTGTGCTTCAGCCCGCTCTGGATTGCGCTATGCCTCTAGAGGGACAGAACAAACGGGACCATTTCTACGTGGTGTACAAGAGTAAAGGAAGGGTATGACACAAAGAAGAAAAGGACTGAGACTTACCAAACCCTTGTCCAAAACTATCGCCAGTTCCAGATATCTGGCCGATTTAATGGCAGCTGCTAACTGAAACAAAGACTTCACACTTATTAATTATTTCTACACTTCAACTGTCATGTCCCTTACTAACGCTGCAAGCCTGGGGTATCCAACTTCAGTTGCGGTGCTTAAAAACATGGCCGCCACGCTATCCATCTAGCAGAGTGGATGAACCTACGATAACTTATTCATTAGACTTTAGGAGGGGAACAAACAAACCCTGCACAGCTGCAAACCCCTCTCATGATTGACGATGCTGCCTTGGCACAATTACCAAGGGTCTACAAAGCTTTGCACAAAGCTACGCAAGCCAGCACGCCGCCAGCACTCTTTTGACTCTCAGAAAGGGAGACACGACAGACTAGCGCACCAAACTTTAGGCTCAGAGAAAGCCGCTCCCCACATACATAGGAGGGATGTGAGATCCACACCTTCCTTAGGGCACAAACACCTCCAAGAAACTTAATGCCCTCAAACCCACCAGGCTCTGACACTGCCGGCGGTCACTAGGCTTGGACCGTGACACGAGGCAAGGCTTCTCAAGACCATTCTTACCGACACAGTAATGGCTGAGAGTTGCCCTGAGGAGGCCTCCGGCTGTGGCACACATTCCTTCATAATACGATGCGGCTGCACAGCATGGGCATATCACAGGCCCGGTTTAAATCTAGGTTCAAAGCCATCTCGCCGAATTTGCCGTGCCCAAGAATTCAGATTCGACAAAACAACGTAACAAATCTTTTGGCCTGCTGTCAATCACGTAACACCTACTACTGCCGTTACAGAGAGCATACTCACTTCAATGTGCAGGGTACGGGACACCTCTCCGGACACCTGCTCCCCCTCTCTAAACATGTATTCATTCTCAAAGAGTGGCCTTTCGGTGGATCCGTTTTTTATTTGATAAACAAGGTGCTCAAATCCAGATGAGGAATCCAACGGCTCAATCCCATAGCTGAGATTCTCAAATTGCAACAGCCCTCTGAAAAAACAAACTACGTGCCAGACTCCTACAGCAATCAAAGCATTCTGCATTACATTACACTCGGCTTGCACTCCTGGACTGAGAATGGCATAAGCCAGCATTGTCCAGCAGGTACAACACAAGCATATCTGTGGCTGATTTTCCTGAAGGTGACTTAGTACCAGGAACTTCAGCATGTTCTAAAATACAAGTAGGTTGCCCCACCCGGAATAACTCTGCTGTGCCTCTGAGTAAAGGTTGAGTTTTGATGGCAACCACAGCAATGCCAAATAAGGCAGGTACTAGAATTCATAAACTCTATACTTTCCTTACCTGAGCCCGGAGCAGGTGCTAAGCGTCACAGCTGAGTTCGGGACACCTTCAATGTATCCTTGGTAGTAGCAGTCAGCCTACATAACATCAACAGAGAAGCCACCATAAAGAAGGAATGCCTTACAAGCAAGTGTAGGTCTCCAGAGCTTGCTCCCACTTAGCCACGTTTCAGAGCCTCCCTGGACACTTCCCAAGACCATGGCACCATCTGAGAATACCAAAGCATTTCAGCATACAACGGGTAAAGCACCGCACAACTCAGCTCGGGACTACAGTTCAACGCCTGAGCTGCATACCTGCCAGAGTAACCAGCTGGGTGCTGAAGAGCTGCCCGAGGGTCTGCTAAGGGCTAAGTTCTGCCCAGGCTACGGAGGCAAATGCGAGGCTTTTCCATTCTGCCCCGCAGAGGAAGGAGACAAGCCTTAGAAGGTCCCCCCCTCCCGCCAACCCAGTCCGTAGCGGGTCCCCGCAGAGTCGCATGGCAATCTCGCCTCTAGGGCACCTGCAACACGATCTAGCACTCTCAGGTGCCCCAATACTTTGCACACCAGCCTGACGGCATCAAGGCCGCTCCATCCATAGTGGGAGAGGCAGGATTTGACCCAAGGATTGCATCTCCGGCTCATCTTCTCGTGCATTGTTCCAGTTTGAGCAGAAATATGAAATACGGGAGAAACGGAAGAAGGCACTGACAGCTGAACGAGCCTTCCTCGGAGACTCTGATCTCGTTGCCCCCGAGAGCTCTCCACATTTGGGTTTTACATACCTGCCTGGTCACCAAGGCTGATTGCTAGGCCCCCTCAATACCCCCTCTTCCTTCCTGCTGGACAACTCAACCAGAGCAGGAGGCAAGTGGCACTTGTAATAAAAGCCCAGCTTCCTCCTAGGTCTCACTCCATGGTGCACAAGTGGCTGATGAGCATCATGCCCAGCCTCCATGCACTCAGGTGAGTGCACACACCTGGGACAATGCTGCCCTTGCCAGCAGCAAGGGCAAGGAAACCAGGCTGCGCACGTACAGAGCGATTACAGGAGAAACTGGAGGAGGGGTGCTGGAAACTTTCAAGGACACAGAGACGACAGGGAACGAGCAGGGATGAAAAGCTAGGGAAGGAGGTGGGAGGGGACTAGCCCAACTCAGCTGTGGGAGACAGCTGAGTAGGAAACCGGGAGGGTCTCGCCCCACCCCGGCCCCTACTTCACCCAGCCCCACAGGGAGCCACACAACCGGAGCCACACAAACAGGCTGCACAAACAGGCGCACTTGTCTGCCGGCGTGTGAGTTAGTGCAGAGTTTCTGCTGGAGGGTGCGCGAGAGGGCCCGAGGCCCTGCCTGTGAGCCACCCTAGGAAAGCCAGTCCCAGCCATAGCCAGCCCGCCAGCAGCATGACACAGATGGGCACATGCAGCACCCCGAGGGTCCCCTTAGGGTCTGTGTCCCCCCTGTCCCCCCCCCGGCACCTCAGAGGCCTCCACCCAGACGGAGCCCACGGTTCCAGGCTCCACGTGGACGGAGCCCCTGGCTCTCGGCTGCGGGGGCTGCCTGTCACTTTTTCAGGATCTGGGGCCTGGGAGCATGGCCACCTCCCCTTGCGGGGTCCTGTGTGCCATCAGGGACTGCGAGCAGGAAATAGACTCCTACTGCCAGGCCCTTCTCCCCCAGGAGCCAAAGGATAGACCATGATCTCCCTCAAGGACAAGGGAGGACCCATTCTGTCCAGCCACAGGAATGGACCAAGGTGGTCAAGGGCCCCAAGGCCTGCTGCACCAAGGCCCCTGCCCCGCTGGAGCTTTGCAACAAGTATGAATCAGGCCCAACAGAGCCTGCTGAGTTGCCAGCTCCCGCAGGCAATGCAGGCTCAGCTGTAGCTACCGCCCCCGCTCTCCCCAAGAGGAAACGTAAAGTGTTTGTCATGGGAGACTCCTTCCTGAGGGGGCAATCTGCCGCCCCAACCCCTCAGCCCGGGAAGTTTGCTGCTTCCCGGGAGCCCGTATCAGAGACATTGCGGAGAAGATCCCTGAACTCCTCCAGTCCACTACCATATGCTCCTCATCCGTAGCTTCATAGTTGGTCGGGTCAGAAGGGACCTGAGCAGATCATCAAGTCTAACCCCCTGCCATGGCAGGAAAGAGTACTGGGGTCAAACGACACCAGCAAGGTATACATCTAGCCTCCTCTTAAAGACCCCCAGGGTAGGAGCCAGCACTTCTCTTGGAAGTTGGTTCCAGATCCTAGCCGCCCTGACAGTGAAGTCGCGCCTCCTGATGTCTAGTCTGAATCTCCCCTCTGCCATCTTGTGACCGTTATTCCTGGTCACTCCTGGCAGTGCTCGGGGGAACAGGGACTCCCCCGGTGCCTGCTGGTCCCCCCTGACTAGTTTGTAACAGGCCACTAGATCCCCCCTCAGCCTTCTCTTGCGGAGGCTGAACAGGTTCAGGTCCCGTAGCCTCTCCTCGTAGGGCCTGCCCTGCTGCCCCTGATCATACGAGTGGCCTCCTCTGGACCCTCTCCATGTTGTCCACATCCCTCCTGAAGTGCGGCGCCCAGAACTGGACGCAGTACTCCAGCTGCGGCCTGACCAGTGCCGCATAGAGAGGGAGGATCACCTCCTTGGATCTGCTCAAGATGCATCTGTGGATGCATGACAAGGTACTGTTGTGGCCTTCCTGACTGTGTCCCCACACTGCCAGCCCATATTCATTTTGGCATCAATAATGGCTCCAAAATCCTTTTCTGCCTTTGCGCTGACGAGAAGGGAGTTCCCCATCCTGTCGGTATGGTGCTGGGTCTTCCCCCCCAGGTGCAGCACCTTGCACTTGTCTGTGTTGAAACGCATCCTGTTCTCATCTGCCCACCCCTGTAACCTGTCTAGGTCTGATTGCAGCCTCTTCCTCCCTTCTAGTGTGCCCACTTCTCCCCACATCTTAGTGCCGTCTGTGAATTTGAACAGGGGCCTTTTTACCCCTTGTCCAAGACACCGATGAAGATGTTGAACGGTGCAGGCCCGAGGACCAAGCCCTGGGGGACCCCGCTGCCCACGTCCCTCCGGGTTGAATAACACCCATCCACCACCGCTCCCTGGGTGCGGCCCTCCAGCCAGTTGGCAACACATCTGACTGTGTGGGTGTGGACACCACAGTCCCCCAGTTTTTTAATGAGAACGGGGTGAGAAATAGTGTCGAAGGCCTTCCTAAAGACCAGGAAGACGATGTCCACTGCTACCCCTGCATCTAAGGATTTGGTGACCTGGTCATAGAAGGCCACCAGGTTGGTCTGACAGGACCTGCCGCTAATGAACCAATGACACAGCTCGGAGTGCTCCCAGCCAGGTCATGAGGTGCTACAGTGATTTGGGAGCAGGACTTAAGGGGCTGGGGGCGCAGGTGGTGTTTTCCTTGATCCTTCCAGTTTCGGGCTATGGGCTGCAAAGGGAGAGGAGGATCAAGGTAGTGAACCAAAGGCTGCGGTGCTGGTGTCATCAGGAAGGCTTCGGCTTCCATGACCACAGCCCGCTCTTTGGTGGGAGAAGCAGTGAGCTGCCGGGAGGGGACGGCCTCCACCTCTCACCACTGGGGAGGAGCGTCTTCTCATCCAGACTGGCTGACCTGCTCCACTGGGCTTTAAACTAAGC